GAAGTCTAGTCTTTGTAACAATGTAGACTGTATTAAAATATACTTCATTATAAAATATCTAATTCCATGTTGTATTTTGTGTTTTTGTTTCTGTTGATCCTAGGGCTTAAACTCAGGGCCTGGATGGTGCTTTTGTGTTCAAGGTCAGTGCTCTACATATAAGTTGAACTGGAACTTCATTTCCCCTGGTGGTTAATTAGAGATAAGAATCTAATGAACTTTCCCACTTAGTCTAGCTTCACACTGTTATGTTCAGATCTCAATCTCTTAACTAGCTAAGATTACATACTTCAAATTCCAGTTCCCAGCCAAGTTGCATATATTGTGTAATTCCAATTCTCAGCATTGTATAGATTCTCCTACTACAATATGAAAAAACAGAATCTACTAAGGATATTTGTAAAGTATAAAATGAAGGAAGAATTTTCATTCTTAAAAAATCAATGCAAAATCTATGCTAAAATATTAATATTTTACTGTACCTTTCCTGCAACCAGTTTGATATAGTTTTATAAGTGTCAGGCCAAGTTTCTCAACATTCTACTGGAGAATTATGATTTCATGCATGCATGCATATGCATATGTGTATATAGATATCCAAATATCTTCCCTAGTGGATCATCAGAATTGAAGCTGCTTTGTTTTGCTGTTCAGCTGTTGAACCAGGTCGGCTCATTCTGTGACAATACCTGTTCTCTTTCTCAACATTCCTTTATTTACTACACCATCAGCCTTCTAAAATAAGGTTCATTTCTTCGAGAAGTTTACCAGTCAGCCCAACCAATATCTACCCAGAGGGTTTTAACAAAGCAAGCTTTAAGATAGTAAGATAACATGAAGTGACAACTACAAAATTTCTACAGAGACCTAGAAAGTTATCAAAATTATATCTGACGTTTTTCACATTTCTGCCTTCGTTCTCTTCTCATACTTAAGAAAGCACTGACTAACACTATAAATATTTTGCATTTATAAATTAAGGATTAGTGTTTTTTTCCAGCCTGAAGCCTTCTTTTCCATGGTTTTTGACATAAACTTTTGGGAGATTTTTTTGATTGTTATGGGATTCCATTCCAAACAAAGCCATGTATATCAAGAAAGCCAATGTTTTCAACTCAGAGTAAATTAAGGTTAGGTATATATGTTAAGCACAAATACAGGCAATATCCAGACATTTTGAAATTGTATACATTTACTAGATAATGTGGCTCAAACCTATAATCTTATCTACTTGGGAAACAAAGATGAGAGAATTCCAGTTCCATACAAGCCCAGACAAAAAAAGAAGTTTCAGAAACTCTAACCATTTGCTCGCTGCAATGTTTTCTTGCCTGTGTTAGGAGGACCACAGTCCAATAAGGCCCACGCATAGTGATACTACCTCAAAATAAGTAATCCAATTACAATCTGCAGGTATGACAGTAGTAGAGGTGTTGTTTCACAAGTACAGGGTTTTGGGGTCAATCCTCCTGTACCACTGGGAATTTAAGTGTGTGCCAGGTTAGGAACGGCATGTCTAAGGTCAAGACTTCATACTGGTTTTACAAGCTCTAATAAAAACTTTACCTCTTTTGTTAATTTTTAAAGTATAATCATAATTTCCATGGCCAAACCAAATAATTTCCTATTAGAGATTTTTCTTTTCTCCATTAAGGAATATGTTATTTGTTGGATACTGTCCCACTGACGTCATATTAAAATCGAAAACTCGTTCACTGCATGTGGATACAGTATCTCAAAGGTAGCATTTGAGTTGAATTCTCCTCCCAGAGAAGCAGAAGGAATTGAATATACTAAGGAAAGAGGACTCAGAAGAAGCCAATTCTGATCTTGGAGTTCTAGTTCCACCAACTCAGAGGCAAAGTATTTACGTTATTAACGCTACCCAATCTGTGGTAGTTTATTATTACAATTACTAGAAAACATGAGGAATCTATAAGACATGAAAAGTCATTGATGCTTGGGGTCCATGACTCATCTCTATAATTCTAGTGTTTAAGAAGGATGAGACTTTAGGGATAATGGTTTTCAGGCTGGTAGGAAAGTTCATGAGGTTCTATCTCCAAATAACTACAAGCTTCTTATTGTAGATTTACTACTATTAGCAAACAAACTGAGAGCATGAGGTATGTTCAAGCCCCAAATTGGGAGAAAAAATTCTTAGAAGAATACTATGAGAAACAGAGTTATGAATAGGAAAGCAGAAACAAAATACATAAACTTATTGATATAGACAAAGTTTCCCAATGTGAAATATGGCACAAAATGTAATATTTAGGATTTTCCTTCTTATATAGTAGAAACAAATGCTATGTCTACTTGAAGAAACTAAAGTATAAAACTGTATGCAATAAATAATGACATTACTTTATGTTTCCATAATTTAACTTGTTTCCCCACAAATTTATAGAATAGTATAGCTATGGAAAAATCAATAAATATTGCATTTTCATATAGGATTACATATCCTTGCAAGTGTTGTCTAAAATTGATCTACATTAAAATCATTGCCATTGATATCCTTCTCAAGATTCCAAATGTTTATAATTTCAGCAAACCTTCCAAAAAACTCATATCCCATACATAATTGTTAGTTTGTTCATGCATTCTTAGGAACATAAACATATGGCACAAAATATTAATTGCCTTTATCTGCTGTCATTAATGTATTATAACTAATACAATTAAGTATATACCCTGAGAGAGAGAAGATTCTTCCTTCTAAATACATGCTTGCAGGCACACACACACACAGACACACACACACTCATACTCACCTATTTACCAATCTAACTTAGGTTAGGTTCCTGACATTGGGTATGAGAAAATGATCTATCTAATAATAAACTTCCTTGCCCAGTCATAAAATACATTCATAATTCCACACATACAAAAAAAACTAGATCATTTAAAATAATGAGATTATTTAACAGATCCACCCAGCTCCTGAGCCATATAATCCCTGATTTCATTCATTCATGACAATGCATTTTTCATATCACATTTAAAAACGTTTTGAGTCTCTGTGATCAGCAGACACAAATGTGCTATCATATAATAGAAAATGTAGGTAAAATTACTTGTCCCTAGGTAATCTTTAATATATCTTAAAGAGTTCTATGTCCTTCTTGCAGAGCCTGTTTCTGGCATTTTGCCCTAATGTCTAATATTAAGTTACAATGGACATACCATATTCCTTAATTCATTCTCCCTAAAGGTTATGCTATGTAGCTGACTCTGATGTTTTGCTTATTCTAAATTAAATTTTCTCAACCAGTTGAATTATTGTTTATGTTACTCCTAAGCTATTCAAAATATCAAAAAGAACTAGAAATTCATCTTCGCAATGATTTGTGAATAGCAGTTATGGTTGTGGGGAGGTAAAGGACTTGAATTATCTAGAGTGCCTTAAAACTGCCACTGTTATTTAAGGACTCATCAATTATTAAGCTTTTAAAGTGTGTCTTCTTATTTCATGTAGGACGGTAAAAGTATGCTTTTCATCACATTCTTGCCTGCAAAGAACTAGAATTATTTCCTTTGTAGAGTTTGTGCTGAAAAGTCTGACTTATAGAGGCACAATAAAGAACTAAATAACTCCATTACAGACTAGCAACCACCTTGTGAGGTACGGATTATAAAAAGAACCATGAATTTGACCCAGAAATGACACAGAAAAGAAAACAATTGCCAGGCAACTAAAACATATATAATCCTTAGGCAAGCCACAGGAATTTTCTCTGGATACATCAACCAAACACTGGGTGGCCATACGAGACACGGTGACCCAGTGGCCAGGTGGTACCCGTCAATAACAAGTCAGTATTAATAATAACCAATCATGTATGTGTAGCTTAATTTGCTTAAAATATTAGCCAATCATGTAACTTCCCATGTAACACTCCCTTAAGGTTGTTTATTCAATACTATAAAAACTGTACTGATTCTATGCTCGGGGCCTCTTAGTGTCACCAGTTACCAAGTGCACGGAGGACCAAGTTCGAATTTGCAAATAAACCACTCTTGTCACTTACATTGATCTTGGTTTCTGGTGGTCTTTGGAGGAGGTATAACAGGTGGGGGCTCATCAGGGATAAACCCATAAACCCACTCAGATACCTGATCAGAGAGTAGCAAAGAATGGCTGGTAAGTTAAGGCATTGCCACTTTGTAACTGTCTGGGGTCTCTGTGTCATGCAGTATTGGTATTGGAGTTGGCAAGAAGTCCTGTCGGATAGTGCTATAAGGCAGCCAACTGGTCTTGTGGGAGAGGTCCCCAGGTTCCCTGGGAAGGTAAATTATCCACTAGTGTGGACTCTTGGGCCTGTTTGTTGTCAGAAACTTTCTGTCTGATAGTTTACAAGGTAGTCTGTCCACTAGTGAGGTCATTTGGGATTTATCCTGTCTGTAATCCCTCACTTTCTGTCTGACAGTGTACCATGGGCATGCTGTTAAATGTGTGTCTTGTCCTAATGTCTGTGTGTTTGTAATGTGAGTATTATGAAACGTTTCCTCACTCAGGTTCATCCGGAGGAGGATGCCAAGAGACCTTGTTTGTCTCCGTTTGAGGCTGTTAGTCTTCATTCTGTTTCTTCATCCTATAATAACTACTTTCTCTTTCAGACCCCCTTATTTTTCTACCACGAAGGGTGAAATCTGGCCTAGAAAGATTGGCCCACTTGAAGCAAAGCTGGAGTCAGGTAATCTATCGGATGCCACTGCTAGAATATCGCAATGTGTCTCTGTCTACCCCTTTGGGATCTAAGACAAACCAGCTAGTCCACACTTTACACCTGGGGACATTGTTAGCTCTGTCCTTAACATTCTTTAAATTAGTTGTTAGGAAGGTAAGGGTAGTGCCAGGTGCATTCTGGTTCTGACCCATTTCAATGTATATCAATCCACACATAAAACCAGAGGAAAGGAGAATATTAATTACAATTGTCACAAAACGAAATAGCCGATGCTTTCAGCAATTTGGGATATGACCACAACTCAAAATGTCCCAAGGAGTAATAAAGCCCCATGGAAAACTTTCGAACAAAACTTCTTCGGTGCAAGGGGTCACAGCAGTTAAACGATACTCATGGACCACCCAAAGCACAGTGGATCTGGTGACGGGACGAGTATCTCACTCATTTTTAGTTATCCCAGAGAGCCTTTATCCCTTATTAGGAAGAGACTTGTTGACTAAGGTCGGGGCACAGATTCACTTCTATCCAGAAGGCTCCCAGGTGACAGATGCCCAAGGGAGACCAATACAAGCTCTGACTATGAGCCTGGAAGATGAGTACCGGTTGCACCAATCACCACAGGCTCCTCACCAAGAAATCACCTACTGGCTGGAAAGGTATCCAGAAGCCTGGGCAGAGACTGGAGGAGTGGGACTAATGAAGCATAGACCAGCTCTATTCATTGAGGTAAAGCCAGGAGCTGATCCAGTCAGAGTCTGGCAGTACCCTATATCCATGGAGACACGGGTGGGAATAACGGCCCACATTAGGTGTCTGCTAGAACTGGGTATACTGCGGCCCTGTCAGTCAGCATGGAACACTCCCCTGCTATCAGTCTGTAAGCCCCACTCCAATGAATATAAGCCAGTGGAGGACTTAAGAGAGGTAAATAAATGGGTAATGGACATTCACCTGACTGTACTCAACCCCTACACACTCCTGAGCACCTTGCCTCACAAAAGACAGTGGTACACAGTATTAGATTTAAAAGATGACTTTTTCAGCCTACCCTTGGCAGCTAAAAGCTAAGATCTCTTGTCCTTTGAGTGGACTGATGTAGAAAGAGATATTAATGGACAGCTGAACTGGAAAAGACTTCCTCAAGGATTTAAAAACTCACCAACACTCTTTGACGAAGCCCTGCATGAGGACTTAGGTGAGTCTATGGGAAGCCACCCTAGCTTGACTTTGTTGCAATATGTGGATGATTTATTAATTGCTGCTAAAACTGAAAGAGAATGCATCTGAGGAATGGAAGATTTACTCGAGACTTTGGGAAGCCTTGGTTTCTTAAGTGTTGGCCAAGAAAGCTCAAATCTGCAAATCAGAGGTAACTTATCTGGACTATTTATTGAAAGGGGGCCAGCAGTGGCTTACAAAAGGAAGAAAAGAAACTGTCCTTAAAATTCCAACACCCCAGTCTCAGCACCACGTAAGGGAGCTTTGGGGCTCAGCAGGCTTTTGTTGTCTGTGGATTCCTGGGTTTGCGGAGATGGCTAAACCCCTTTATGAGGCTACCAAAGAAAAGCAGCTGTTTTTATGGATAGAGTAAGTTGAACAAGCCTTTGAACAGATAAAAACTGCCTTATTGTCAGCCTCAGCATTAAGACTCCCTGATACAAATGAACACTTTAATTTGTATGTGGATGAACATAATGGGATTATGAAAGGAGTCCTAAGCCAATATCTAGGCCCATGGAGAAGACAGTAGCCTACTTATCAAAGAAATTAGACCGGTGGCAGCAGGATGGCCACCATGCCTGAGAATGAAAGTGGCTACTGCTTTAATGGTAAAAGATGCAAATTAACTATGGGGGCAGGAACTGTATGTGACCACGCCCATGCTAGTGAGAGTGTGTTAAAGCAACCACCAGACCGATGGCTCAGCAATGCCTGACTAATCCATTACCAAGGACTGCTACTCAGTCCTCTCAGAATTAATTTCCTGGTTCCCTCAGCTGTCAACCCAGCGATTTTTCTACCAGATCCAGACCTAGACATGTCACTATATGATTGCTCGGAGATCTTGGCTCAAGTCTGTAATATCCAAGAGGACTTAAGAGATCAGTGTTACCAGATGGTGAACTTGTGTGGTTTACTGATGGGAGCAGCTTTCTTCATCAAGGACACAGGTATGCGGGAGCAGCAGTAGTGACTGAGACTGATGTGGTTTGGGCCGAACCTCTGCCCATAGGCACGTCAGCCTAGAGAGCCGAATTAATAGCCCTGACCCCAAGTACTAACGCTAGGAAAGAATAAAAGACTAACTCTGTATAGTGATAGTCAGTAATCATTTGCAATGGCTCATATACACAGAGCTATCTAGAAAGAAAGAGGATTACTGACAGCAGAGGGAAAGTCCATCGAAAATAAAGATGAAATTTTGGCCTTAATCGCTGCTCTTTGATTGCCTAAGAAGTTGGCCATTGTTCATTTTCCTGGACATCAAAAACTTAAAGATACTGTGAATAAAGGCAATAACCTGGCCGACAGAACTGCCCGGGAAATGACAACACAAAGAGACTCTATAACGATGATAAACCTCCCAGACCCCGGTTCAAGAACTCTCCTGGACACTCCTACATATACCACAGAAGATTTAAAATGGATTGATCAAATAACAATGGCACAATACCTGAATGGTTGATGGAGAGACTCTAAGAGCAACATTGTCTTGCTTGAACAGTTAGGGAGTAAAATACTACTGAAAATCCATTGAGCACCCACATGGGTAGGAGGAAGATGCAAGACCTGGTGAGAAATACTGGTCTTAGGGTCAAGAATAGACATGCTAAAATAGAACAGATTGTCAGGGACTGTAAGGCATGTCAGCTGACTAATGCAGGGAAAATTCAGGCAGGACCAGGCAGTCGGATAAGAGGAGAGAGTCCAGGAACCTACTGGCAGGTGGACTTCACAGAAATCAAACCTGGCAAGTACGGATATAAATATCTATTAGTTTTCCCTTTTTAGGATGGGTAAAAACCTTTCCTAAAAAGCATGAAACAGCACAGGAGGTGGCTAAGAAATTGCTGGAAGAAATCTTACACAGGTTTGACTTCCCTAGCATGATAGGATCAGATAATGGACCAGCCTTTGTGTTGAAGGTAAGTCAGGGACTTGCTAATGCACGTGGAGCAGATTGGAAACTGCATTGCGCTTATAGACCCCCAAAGCTCAAGACAGGTAGAAAACTGTAAAGTAGACCCTGACCAAATAGACCATGTTGACTGGTGGTGAGTGGGTAACTCTCCTTCCCTTTGCCTTATACAGAGTACGAAACTCCCCTTTGAAAATTGGTCTTTCCCCCTATGAAATTGTATTCGAAATGCCCCCTCCCATAATTCCTAATTTTCAGAGCAGTTTCTTAGGGAAGGTGATGAATCTGAACTTTTGTTCTCTCTCAGGGTCCTGTAGAGGACCCACCTTTATGTCTGGCCTAGACTGAATGTGCTGTATGAGTCAGGCCCTCGACCGATCCCACATCACTTCCACCCCGGGACTGGGTCCTGGTGAAAAGACACCGACAGGAAAACGTGGAACCGCGGTGGAAAGGACCTTTGTGGTCATCTTGACGAATCCAATTTTCCTCAAAGTCGATGGCATTGCTACCTGGATCCAACATTTGCATGCGAAGCCTGTAGAACCCATAACCGATTTTGGAGAGAACCCAGAGTGATAAGTCTCAATTTTCAAAGACAATCCTTAAAGCTCAAATTGAGCCGTAAAAAGACTAAGTCATGAAATGGTTGTTGACGTATAGCTTACTTGGAAATTGTATTGACATAATAGTGGGTGCTTGCAATCCTAATCGCCCATATAATTGGGCTTGGATTATTAGTAATCAGGTAATGGAAAAACATTTCCCTCTGGCTGTGAAAGAGGGACCCTCCCTATGGTTTCGAGACAGGCTTACATTTAATTTGTGCTAGCTCGCTGAGGGAGTATGGGAAGGACCTAGGCTTGTTGAGTGTAGATGGAGACACTGGTATGTTTGCCCAGGGGAAGGAAGGACTAGTAATTGTGGAGGACCAGAGGATTTTTACTGTAAGAGCTGGGGCTGCAAAACAAGTACTTCAGGAAAATGGAAAGGAAAAGGAGAAGACCTTGTTACTTTTACTAAATCAGGGCCAGCGGGCATCCAGTTTAATGGGATGCCTGTGAAATAACAAATTAGGGTTCCCCAGGATTCTGATGCCTGAATGAAAGTTCGGTTCACAGACAAGGGCAAACAAGTCCTAGGATGGGAATTAGGAAAGACTTGGGGACTAAAATTTTACCGATGTTGAAAGACTCACAATGGCACACTTAGAATTCTACAGACAATTGCCACAGCTAGCTATTTCCTTTCAGTAATGGGACCAAACAGTGTTTTAAGACCGGCTTCTGCCACAAAAGCCAAAGTAAGTGAAAAGAAAAAGCCCTAGGCTGTAGTGACCCCATCTCCTCCGAAAAGAGGAGACCCCCTCAGGGAGAACATCCCTTGCTGGAGGATTCTGTATGGCAGCTGTTGGTTCAAACTTATAATGTAATCAATCAGACCCGCCCTGATATTACCAGTACATGTTGGATGTGTTATGATATGAGACCCCCATTTTATGAGGGTATTGTAGTGGTACAGAATGTAACTAAAACAAGTAAATCATGCAGATGGGAATAAAAAGAGGCAAAACTTACCCTAAAGGCAGTTATAGGACAACGGTTATGTGTAGGACGAGTACTAACTAATTTTACTCACTTAGGTAATCAGACCCAAGAATGGACTCCCGAGGAAGCTTATCGATTGTCTCCCTAAGATGTTTGGTAGACATGTTCAACTGGCCTAACCCCTTTTGTGCATTGGAGGCTTTAAATAGGACCCACAGCTTTTGTGTCATGGTGCAACTCATCCCACGAATACTTTACAATTCTCTGTAAGACAAGATGATAAAAATGTCCGCAGCAAGCTACTGGCCGCGAAGAGCTAAAATAGAAATAATAGCAACCATGACTTTCGGGGCCCTAGTGGGCTTAGCTGGAGTAGGGACTCGAGTAGCATCCCTGGTTACTCAGAGAACACCCTACTATAACCTTTGTGCTTCTATAGATGAGGATATCAAAAACCTGGAACGTTCTACAGCCTACCTTCAAAAATCTCATGATTTCTTACCTGAGGTGGTGTTACAAAACAGGCAAGGGCTGGACTTAATTTTCTTACAGCAAGGAGGTCTATGTGCTGCCCTAGGGAAGAATGTTGTTTCTATGCAAATCACTCTGGAGTTGTAAAAGAATAAGGGAACAGCAAGAAGGATGATTTGAATCATGGTTTAACTATTCCTCTTGGATTATTACATTAATATCCACTCTGTTGGGTCCCATTATCATTCTAGTGCTTGTGTTCACTATAGGGCCTTGTGTTGTAAATCGATTAGTGATGTGTGTTAAGAAACGAGTCAATACCGTACAACTGATGGTCTTGAGAACGCCATATCAATTAATCCCTGATGAAAGACATAACGCAGGCCCGTAAGTACAATGATTAGCCTTTCAGGTGCATAATAGAAACTGGGGAATGAAGAGTCTAAGACTTAAAGAGGCACAATAAAGAACTAAGTAACTCCATTACGGACTAGCAACCATGTTGTGAGGTACGGATTATAGAAAGAACCATGAATTTGACCCAGAAATGATACAGAAAAGAAAACAATTGCCTGGCAACTGAAACATAAATAATCCTTGGGAAAGCTACAGGAATTTTCTCTGGATACATCAACCAAACACTGGGTGGCTATACGAGACACGGTGACCCAGTGGCCAAGTGGTATCCGTCAATAGCAAGTCAGTATTAATAATAACCAATCGTGTATGTGTAGCTTAATTTGCTTAAAATATTAGCCAATCATGTAATATCTCATGTAACACTCCCTTAATGTTGTGTATTCAATACCATGAAAACTGTACTGAATCTATGCTCCGGGCTTCTTAGTGTCACGTGTTACTGAGTGCGTGGAGGACCAAGCTTGAACTTGCAAATAAACGACTCTTTTTTCACTTACATTGATCTTGATCTCTGGTGATCTTTGTAGGTTCTCCAGTCCAGGTATAACAATGCCCTACTGCTACTGTAGTGAAACCCACAAACAACTGCACAGCGGTGTTAGCTGCTTTAGATTTTGACAATTTCTTCCAGTAGCCCTAGTGATTTGAGCCCAGATTTATGGGATAGTCACATAATACACAATTGCAAAGCACCAGAATATACAAAGTCAAAATGCAAAATGAGGTTAAATTTTTTTCCTTGTTGTTCACTTTTTTCTTTCTTTTTTTTCTTTATTTTTTAAGTGTGAAAATACGTTACAGAGGGGTTACCATTACATGGGCAAGGTAATGAGTGCATTTCTTAACAAGCATTGTTGCCTCCTCCTTTGTTTCCCTTCGCATCCTTTCCCATGCCCACTCCAGCCCCCCCTCGGCCAAAGTTGTAAAGTTCATTTTTCAACAAAATGGCTTGTCCATATCTTTATTCCAATGGGTCCACCTTTATCACTATTTAAACAATAAGTTTTTTTTTCCTCCCCCTCCACAAAGTATACCAACATCAAATACAGTGAAAACAGGGGTTATACCGTGGGGGAGAGACATACAAAGCAACAAAGAAATCATCTTATAAATATGTTAGAAACAATAGCAAGAAAGAAAAAAAACATTTGAATTCTTATTTTGGGGTCCATTTTGCCTAACATAAACTTATCTGACTGTTTCTGCTTGTCTCAGACAAATACTAGTTATTGCGATTAAGGGAAAGCATGAGACCTATGCTTCTTTGGGCCTGGCTTAATCCAGCCTTGGAAGAAAACAATAGAATCATTTTTTTTCTTATTCATTCTCTTTTAAGGAGCTAGATCCTGTTTATTTCTCATTATTGTTGATATGACTTAAATAAATTTACCAGATTTTTCAAATAAAATAGATATAAAATGACATATTTAGTAACAAAATAAAGCTAAACATTTGAGTGATATTTTTATTTAGTTCTGTTCTCAGTTATGCTGAAATAGCATTGACATGAGACAAGCATATGTGAAAATTGACACGTATCAATCACACAGAACTCTGGAATCTTTGGGCTTTGATTTCTATATCAACGTCACCTAGAAAACAAAATTATCACTT